GGTCGGTTTCACAGGTATAATTTTGAGCACAGATGTGAAATTCAAGCTTTAATGCATCTAAATAGTTAAAACACCTTACGGGTGAGAGAAACGTCAGCGTTCAGCGGTCTCTCTAATGCAGTGTCCCCCAGAGACCCACGCATTCATTTTTCATTCACTGTAGTGCACATATACTCCCCCCCCCTCTGTTTTGGTCCTCCATCATTCTGTGGTACATGCTTTGAGGTGAGTCGATATAATTGGCTATATTATTATGCAAAAATGAATGCCTAAACCTTTTATCTGGGTCTATCTCACAATCAATTTCCTTTTTATTTATTTATTCTTTTTTTTTTTTTTCAAAATTTTTTGGTCTTTCAAATGCCGTGGGTGTGGCTAATATGATTATATTTTTTTTAAATCAATGATGTAAAAAGATAAGACCTTTAGCACCCCAAATTCAAACCTTTTTGGTTATTTATTAATTCCCCCCCCCCCCAGTTAAATTAATATTTAATTGTATTTTTGAACATTTTTTTATTATATGTGCTTTTAACATATTATCTCTTTATTTAAAAAATTTATTTAATCACCACTAGTACACTTGAGTGTACTAGTGTATGAAAGATGGGTTCAAGTATACTACAAGTGGTGACTAAATACAGATATATTATGTTAAAAGCTTCTCTAATCTTTTTGTATTCTTTCTATTCGTTTTCTTTTTATTTATTAAACAAAAAAAAGCCTCTAACACTAGCTTGCTCTATTCTTTTTATTTATTATACAAGTAAAAAAAAAAACTTGCTATGTGTACTGCATTAAGCTAACTGAGACTTGTTATAGCACTTGCATATCATTGCTCTTTTGTTGATTTTGACTGCTTCTATTGTCCTCATTTGTAAGTCGCTTCGGATAAAAGCGTCTGCTAAATGACTAAATGTAAATATATTCATGGTGTCCCAAAATAGCACAGTTGAGTACACTTAGATGATCCTAAGTTTATCTTAAGAAGTACTAAAGAATCAGTTTTAGTATATTAAATACAAAATTAGTGCATGAAAATACAGCACTTTAAGTACATTATGGAAGTGAACTTTTTTTTTAACCTGGGAAGTGCGCAAGACTGTCCCAGGTCTTAAAAACGCCAAAGCGCAGTGCCCTTAAAGCACACTGAATCCACACTATTTTGAATACCGCTCCGAAGCACTATTCCAGGCTTACTGTATCCCATCATGCATCATGTTTTGGAATAAATCGTGAGATTTTTGCCGAGATCTCGCGAGAGGTCACGGAAACCTTCCCAATGTAAGTTAAATATTAATATAATAATTAGATGTTATTACATATAATTTGGTAGAAAAACAAAGTGTTGCACATTTTATTGCATCAAAGATGAGTAGTGGTGATATTTATTTTGTACATTTGCAACTGCTTTTCATCACTTAATTAGAAGCACCACAAATTAAACTGTCATAGGGACTACTGAACAGACATTTAGAAGTTGATTTTAAAATGCTAAGTAGCTATGTAAAATAAAAATAAAGCTATTTTTACAACACTACAAGTGTGTCCCATCAGGTAATGAAAAGTTCTGCACACACTTGTGGTCTTCATCCTCACTTGGACACTTGGGCAAAATACAGGAAATACAAGTAGTCAAGTGGTCAAGTGCAAATACCGCCAGTGTGGGTGGATTTGGCTTTGTCCAAATACCCACACTTGCAGTCTTTGCACTTGACCACTTGATTACTTAAATGACGTATTTCCTGTATTTCCTGTGCCGAAGTCTTCAAGTGGGTGTGAAGACCCAGTTGCAAATGTTGTACAAAATAAATATCACCTCAACTCATCTTTGCACCAATAAAAGTAAAAACACTGTTTTTCTACCAAATTATTTGTAATATCTAATTATTATATTAATATTTAACTTACATTGGAAAGGTTTCATCTCGGCAAAAAGTCTCACAATTTATTTCCAGAACATGATGCATGATGGGATACACTTAGCCTTGAATAGCGCTCTGGAGCGGTATTCGAGATAGTGTGGATTTAGTATCCATTTAGTGCACTGCACTTTGGCATTTTGAAGATATGGGACAGGCTTGCACACTTACTTCCTGTTGCGCGCACGCGCTCTCAAGTGGCCATGACCGCAAGTGTGGGTATTTGGACAAGGGGAGAGTGTGGATTCAGTGAGCGATAAGGGCACTGCGCTTTGGCGTTTTTAAGACCTGGGACAGTCTTGCGCACGCGCTCTCAAGTGGCCATGACCGCAAGTGTGGGTATTTGGACAAGGGGAGAGTGTGGATTCAGTGAGCGATAAGGGCACTGCGCTTTGGCGTTTTTAAGACCTGGGACAGTCTTGCGCACGTGCTCTCAAGTGGCCAAGGGTAGCTTACTGGACAAGGCAAGAATAATGTAAAGAGAGTCAAACCTCGTTTCACTGGTCGAGAGGGAGGAGCGGATCCTCGTGACTCCGCCCCCATGCGCAGCGCAGGCTTCATAAAGCCCCGCGCGGCGCGTCCGCTCCAGCATCAGCAGCGGCGGCGTCGGCGGCACGGTCATGGCGCGGGAGTCTCCATCCTCATCGCTGTGTCTGGAAGAAACGCGCACTCACTCGCTCTCCTAGTGTACCCCCCCGCGAGCCAGCAAGGTGATGCAAGCCCTCCACAGACCCGGGCTGCACCGGCCACCAGACGCCGAGTTTTGGCTGGACCGGATGGCGGACCTCCAGAACCAGAGCTCTGCGAACGGCTCCGAGCTCAGCCGCTTCAGCAACCTGGAGGACATCAACCTGCCCGCGGACGGCACGCTGGAGCTGCGCGTCATGATCTCCATCGTGTACTCGGTGGTGTGCGCGGTGGGTCTGGTGGGCAACCTGCTGGTCTTCTTCCTTATGAAAACCCGGCAGGGGAGGAAGAAATCCACGATTAACTACTTCATCATGAACCTGGCGGTCACGGACTTCCAGTTCGTCCTCACGCTGCCCTTCTGGGCCGTGGACATGGCGCTGGACTTCACCTGGCCGTTTGGACACGTCATGTGCAAGGTGGTGGTCACGGTGACCGTGATGAACGTGTACGCGAGCGTCTTCTTCCTCACCGCTATGAGCGTGACGCGCTATTGGTCTGTTGCGTCCGCGCTCAAGGACCGAACGCGCAATAAGCGCTGCTCTGTGAAGCTGGTCAGCGCGCTTCTGTGGCTCCTAGCCACCGTTGCGTCGGTCCCCACGGCGATCTTCTCCACGGTGAGCTCGATCAGCGGCGTCAAGCTGTGCCTCCTGCGCTTCCCCAACGGCCAGCACTGGCACGCTCTCTATCACCTGCAGAAGATCCTAGTGGCGTTTGTGTTTCCGATGCTCATCACAGTCGTGTGTTACCTTCTCCTGTTGCGCCTCATTCGCCTGCGGAGCATGAACAACAACCTCCCCAAGCGCAAGTCCAGAGTCACCAAATCCGTCACGATCGTGGTCTTGTCCTTCTTCATATGCTGGCTGCCCAACCACGCCATCACCTTCTGGGGAGTCCTGGTCAAGTTTAACGTGATCCACTGGGATAAAGTCTACTACACGCTCCACACGTACGTGTTCCCGGTCACCATTTGCCTGGCGCACTCAAACAGCTGCTTGAATCCGGTCTTGTATTGCCTCATGCGCAGGGAGTTCAGGAAAATGCTCAAGGACTTCTTCTGGAGGATTTCGTCGCCCGCGATCGCCAACAGCTGTCAGATCCGCCCGTTCTCGGGAACCGCGAAGGAGCGCGACTACAGCCAGGCGGCGATTCCTCTGAACGTGATGGAGACCGAGGAGTACAGATTGTCGGTGGTGAACGGGCAAACCGACGCGTTACCGTCCACGGACTGCGCCGTTAAGAGGTAGACGCGCGAAGCCGTGCGTAAAAGCGCGCTGTTTACTTGAGTTACAGTACTGGAGGACTTTCTGCAAGCTCTACAAGGATTTCGTTCGACCCTTTTTTTTGTATTATTCTTTCAAGTGATGTTTCAAGATGTTGCATCCCTAAACGTTCGTGCCAAATTGTCTTTTGCAAACCGTGCGTCCGCTGCAAGCCACAGTGCTTTTTAACGCTTTTGTCCACGTTTCTGAATTTAAGAGTGCTTTTATTCCGTGTAAACGTGCGCGGTGAAGCAGACCTGGGTGTACAGAGTATCGAATTATCGAAATAAAATATTGGTCTTAAGATGCAATGCAATTATTTATAGTTTTCACTTTTACTCATGTTTGGAGGAAATACTTTTGCATTAAAACTCGAGGAAAAAAAAAAAAGAAGACAAAGACAAGATTTGACGATAATTGTTTATGCATACAATTATTATAAGTATAAACATTATGATATAATACGACTATATAGTTGTTGTTATTATATCTTATCATTACTTATTAGAAATATGAGGCCATTTCCTCATTTATTATCTTATACACGTTCGGAGTAAAATATTATTGCTTCATTGCATTAAAAAAAAAAAATAAGCCACACACACACACACACACATATATATATATATATATATATATATATATATATATAATACCAAGATTTATTTATATATGTTTGAGCTATTTTAAATGTTTTGACCAACCCCATCTTTTCACTTTTATTCAAATTTGGAGTAAGATTTTGTTTGCATAAAAAATACTCGAAGATTGAAATAATTTTTTAATGAATGCTCATACTGTAAATGCACCAGATTTTAAAGCAGCATCATTCCTAGCTGCTTTCCGACCTCCTTTTTGTTGTTTGAATCTATTGCCTGGAAATTCTGAAATAATTAAAATGTATTGCTCATTTGAAATGTAATAAAGCTGTGTCAATGACCTCAACCATGTGAAGGTGATGGTCCGAAAGGAAATGAATGTAAACAGTGTTCCTATGTTGTCCATTTGAAGGCCATAATAAAGTCCTGTCTTATCATAGCAATGTTTGTTTTCCTCATAAGCACAATTACAAAGTTAACTTTTACTGTTATTCCATCTAATTAACATTTGACAGCAGGTCTGTGGTTTAGGGAGTAACTCTACCGCAACAGAATTACTTCAGTTTATTATCTCAACACAGACACATAAACCCATGCAAACAATAACACGACAACAGGGGAATTAATGAGCTCTGCGATGCTTCACAAAACAACAGTTTGCTGTCAGTCCTTGCTTCTTATAGGTTATAATAAACATGTTTTTACACAGAGAGAGGAGCAGTGGGCATTTAGTGATCCACGTACACATTTATTCTTTTTTAACCAGAAGGTTGAGAGAAGACAAAATGTATTTCTGAGAAATGTGATTCATGCCATATAAAATAATATTCTCTCTATACACACAAGAGGGCACTGCGATCCCAATTTTAAATACAAAACCAATCATCTAAAATCTTTACTGCTTAAGACTGTTTAAATAAACACTTTGAAAGTTCAGGAAAGTCGACTTTAAGCCAACTATTAACCTTTAAGTGAAAAAGTCGCACTTCTGGTGACTCTGGAAACAATCCCACGGTCGTTAGTTAATGACTGAAGCAGTCCGGCAGGTGTTTTATCAGTTAAATATGGTCATGCTTGTGTAGTTATTTCATTTGTGCTGTTTTAGGAAGATTTAGAGGCTGTGATATCTGTGGTTTTCAGCTGGAATGACATTCTGCTACTGATTTATTGCAGCTCTGAAGTTTGTTCAGCATCAGCCGGTCAGAAATGTCACCATCTTTGCAAAACCCTCGTCGTTAATTTGCCCATCATACGTCACGCCGGCTTCACTCAGCAGCTCGTCCACTGTGACACAAACACAGACAGCAGGATTTCACTAGATGTGTTTAACATGCTGCATTTGACATGACAAGTTGGAACTTGTATAATCATGAACTGGTTCATTTAGAGATTTTGGGCTATTTTACTTCCATAACGTCTTATTTCAGACTAGTGGAAAGAAAACATCTTTAATACACGTTTAAGTGTTTATTTTGTTGCACTTCATCTATACGTGTCTGCATATTTTGATTTGAATGACTACGAGTTTGTTTCTCCACTTTAGCAGCACTTACATTCACCAAATTTACAATTTTATTGATTTTAATGGTTACAATTTAGATTTTATTGAAATGTATCTATTTGCATCTGTAGATTTTGTTTACAATACATATTTTTTTAAGGCAATTTTCTAAAAATGAGTTTGTTTCTCCACATTCAGCTGACTCCACTGTGATGTAACCCCCTCCCTCTCTCTCTTTATCTCTCTCACACACACACGATGCGCAAAACTCCACATAGTGAGGTAGATATGTGGGGGCGTGTTAGAACGAGCCGTTTTAGGGGGGCGTGGCTGACTCTTAACTTTGATAAAGAATATCTCTTTGGTTTTGAGACTTTAGTCTTTGCAACTTCAGGGATCTTATCTATGCACAATCAGCTTGTAACACTCCGAAGAGAAAGGAAAACTTGAAATCGCATCATATGAGCCCTTTAAACTATATCTTATGAATTTAAATCTGTATTTAACCTCAGAACGATCTCAAAGTAAGTCTGATTTTGTGGCGACTGTGCTTTAGAATTAAATTATTATTATCTTAATTCAAGCGATGAAGATTTTTTAAAGTGACAGTAATCAGTGTTGAATAATACTACATGCTTGAAAATGATTAACAGTTGAAAACATTACAAATTTAGAAAAGTCATCAAATGTAATCAGTTACATTACTTTAGTAAAGAAATTGAAATAGTTACACTACTTATTACATATTCAATAGGGTAACTTGTAATCTGTAACCTATTACTTTTTCAAAGTAACCTTCCCAACACTGTGCACAATGCATTGTGGGTAATGTAGTTCTATCTCCCCTGTGCCCTTTGTCTGAATCAGATTTACCTTCCTGATCCGTGAGTCGCTCTCCAAAGCCTGTCAGTCTGGCCCTGAGCTCTGCCGCTGTGATAAAGCCTCGTTTGCTCGTGTCCATTAACCTCACGGCCTGCAGGATCTCGGCCCGCGGGTTCTCCTGCTGGATCTGCGCATGCATCACGCTGAGAAACGTGGAGAAGTCCAACTCGCCGCTCTTATCTGGGACAGGCAGAGTCAAAGCATTTTGCCAAAAAGCTTCAGATACAGAAGCCGTTTGATCACGTCTGACAGGCTGAGAGTTATATTTATTGCGGAGGGTTTATATTTAGATCATTGCATCACGTTTGTCAAGCAGGGCTTCATTTCATCAGCGGCACCACGTGTGATGTCAGTTCAAATGACACTTCCTTCAATTAAAATCATTGTGAGCGTGTAGCGTGGGACTTTCAGTGCTCTGTTTTTCTTCCAGGAGACTCTATAAACCGTCTGCGTTCACTGGCTTTATCTGGATGTGCACACTGAGGTTTGCGGTTGTTATTGTTGAGTTTCATCCACGTACTCCTACAGATTTCAAGTTTATTTAACTTAGTAAGCCAAGTTTACACTGTTGACTTTACCTGGGGATTGGAAGTTTAGCAGGACATAACACTTACTTAACACTGACGTGAGTCTTTCGTTTGGATGTTCAAATACTTCCAGTATCTCAGCTTAATGTTCAGAGTCACTGCAAGTCAGCAAGTGATCATTTTCATTGATCTGCTTGGTTTAACCAAAAGAGAACTAAAAATCCCATTCATTTTCTCCATAGAGGAATTGATTTTTAATCAATTAACTTAACAGTAACTGTATTTGCTATAGCACTTTATACAATAAGGATTGTTTCATTAATAAAAGAGGAAAATAACAGGTGTTAATCACGCAAAATTCACCAATTATGAAAATTTCAGCTGTAAAGCAGCTGTTATTTTAGTATTATTTATATGCTAGTTTTTATGACTATTTTGCATCACCTTTTATTTTTAGATATTCAGTTCTCATTTTAATTTTAGTTTCATTTTTAGTAATTCTGTTATGTGCTTTTGTCATTTTATTCGTTTTTCTTTCTTCTTAAATATTACTATTTTCATTTAACTTACTTTTAAATCAGGTTTCAATTTTAGTTTAGTTTTTATTTCCAGATTTTTGCCACATTTTTCATTCCAATTTTTGTTCATTTCAGTTAAAAAATATCATTTTTGTTTACGCTGCTCTACAGAAGCAGAAAAGTGTCATAATTAAGCTTAATTCAGTTTAATGTTGATTCAATTCGGTTCAATAACAGTGTCAATGTTGCAAAGTTCATCAATTATTATGCTAATGCATAAATTAATTTGTTTCATAATGGATGAACTGCAACAATGACATTTATTGAACTGAATTGAACTGAACTTTAAATAAAGACCAGTTGTGAGCTAGGAAGTTGTTAATCGGTGGTATTTGATTCTGTTGAAGCCATCAGCCTGCAATATTTCAACTTATTTTTTAAAATACTGGCATTCAACAGCAGAATTCACAGTGAGAATCCCAACAAGCAAATCACGCCAAAAGAGCTTCACCCACTTCTATGAAGCACTGCAAATGTTATATTTGTGCTAAATATAAAATATATTGTTTCTATAAACATAATCAACACCTTTAAATCAATAGTTTATATTTATCCATTGGTATTATTTTGATTGTATCATTTGCAATAAATGGGATTGTAGTTCTTTCCTTCATTAAAGCCATTACACTGTCATTGTCTGATTTTCAAATACTTTTTTGCTTCAAATGCTTGCTTCAAAGTGTGTAATGTTGTGATTCACCTCAACACTGGTTAGTTTGGTTCATAGGTTATAATTCTTTAACAAAGACAATTTAAACATCCCTATGGAAAAAATTTCAGGCTGCTGAAAAAGTGGGCGGGAACATTTGCGCTCTAGAGTGAGTTTTGGGCGGGGCTATCATTTTGACTGACAGATGGAGAGCAGAAGGGGAGGAGTTTAGGAAAACATCAGTGTTTTTGTAGCTCACAAGCCATTTTACTTAAACGAACAAGTGGCTGTATTAGGGCTGCACGATAAATCGAAATGGAATCGAGATTCGACAGAAGCTGCGATTGTCATGCGTATCTTTCAGTGAAGCACGGTTCTGTGACCAGTAGTAAATCTCCATCCAAAGGCCAGAGAAACCCAGAAAATGCCTATCGCTGCAGCTGAATAAACAGAAGATTTAACTTTTATTGATTCAACGTCACTAATAAACACACGACTACAGCAATATACGTTTTTTCTGAGTTCTTATTATTATAATTTTCATTAAAATAAAGTATATTTATAATGCAATGCCTTTATCACTGCTTAAATACCATGAAATATGTCGCGTGCCTTATTCTGTGTAAGAAGCCACATCATCTCACAGAAGGATTTATTTCAAACACTCGACTGACGTTATGAAGGGAGTTTGGAGTAAAAACATGTTATTAAATGTGGTATTTTCACATGCTTTCAGATGGAGCAGCATTTACTACACAGAGCCGTAGTTCACTGAGAAGCTATGCTAACAGCTGTCATTTTCACGAACGTCTTCTTCGATTTTTTTGCGTAACTTGTCAGTGAACTACGGCTATGTGTAGTAAACTCCGCTCCATCTGAAAGCACGTGGTGATGATTTCCTACTGATTACAGAACCGGCTTTACTAACAAAATGCGCATGACAATCGCATTCGATTAATCGTGCAGCCCTAGGCTGTATATACTATACCGATTGTATGGGTCAGCAGGTGTCTGTCGAGCTCTTGCAGGGTCGGACAGCAGCCCAGAGTTCTCATGACCGTCAGCAGATCCTGCGTCTTCATTTTACCCCTGCGCTTCTGGTCGTACAGCGAAAAACACTCTTTATACTCTGAAGGAAGACACAAACGTATTGCTATACACAGAAAGTGTAGTATGCAAACACTTGAAATGTAACACCTTAACCAAATTAACTTTGAAATGCATCCAGATGACAGATAAAAACGCTTTTTGTTTGATAAGGACTGGATACAGTTTGGCAAAGAATCTCTTTAATCCCAAATGAAGGATTTGTTCTGGCATAAACTGAGACGACCTGTTTAGGAGGGACTCAAGATTACAGCATTATCAACGACAGCAGGTGGACGAAGGAATCAAAGCCAGACAGTATGACACAGTGGAGCGTTCAAGATTTCCTTGCGTTTCTGCAGTGTATGTCTTGTATTTATTCTAATATGTTGTACCCATTTGAGCTCCATGTTCAGTTCTCTCTCTGTTTCTGCATCAGAGGATCTGCATGTGTTTGTCCTGCAGTAATCGGTCAGTTGAAGTCCAGTGACCGGCAACAAAAGCCACATTGTTTCCAGTGAAAGAATAAAATACTGAAGGGCTTCAGTGCAATATTATAATCATATATAATAACCTCCTATTAAGCCTATAACAGCAATAAACATTTATATGTTTAGCAGATGTAAATAATTAAAAAGATCATGAAGCTTTCATTCATATAAAGGCTATAATCATATTTGGTTGGTCTATTAACCATTTTATGAAAGCTGTAGCCTAATAGGTGTTCAGGTAGGATAAAAGTGGCTCAATCTCTACATTAACCTGTATTTTTGGCTTGTGTTAAAGATATAAATCTGTATTTATCTAACTAATCAGATAAAAACAATCACATAGTGTGTCTGTACGAAAAGTTTAGCATAATCTTGAGAGCTGCTTACCGTTGATTTGATCTTGACTGAGGAATTTCGCCTGCAATGACATAAGTATACATAAAGTCAAATACATTTTTGTTTACATGGAAATAATATGCAAAGAACAGAAGCTAAACTGACCATGTCCACTGGCAGACCTGCTCTACAGTGCTACAGTCAGCTGTTTGTAATGAGACTAACTTTAATTCCTGAAGATGGCGTTAGACGGCACAGAGAGAGACGAGTCTCCATTGACTTCAACATTTTAATCAAAAAATATTTGTATGCCAAAACTTTGTATGCTTTCTTTAAATCATTTAGTTTTTATTTTATTGACTTAATTTAAATACATCATTAATAAACAAAATATTTTTGAGGAAAGACATCACAGATGAATGGGGTAAAATTAACAAATTAATAAATAACACTTCCCCTGGGCAGACCCCAATCGATTAGTACAGTAAGAGAGTTGTTTTGTATTAGTTTTCTGAAACTTTTTTTTTTCTTTTTCTGAAAGCTTTATTGAATATGCACTAATTAGCATACATTTTCGGGTTTTTACAGAGGGGATTTGGGATTTTTCTATTTTTATCACTCAACAGACAGAATAAAATAATTTCCCCCATATTATAGGAATAAAATGTTGTATGAAATCAGGCGAATGATATATGAACAAACAATTCTATAAAAATTGGAGGGAAATCTCACAGCAAGATATGTATTGGAATTGAAAACTACAGACACAAGTAGATAAAGTGCAATAAAATAAACACTTAAATGTGTATTTTAGATGCTGTATTTCCACTAGTCTGAAAGAAGACACGTTATGAAAGCAAAGCAGTTGAAAAATCACAAAACTGACCGGTGCATTAAAAAACTGTATTTTTGCCCGTAGTGTCTTCCCTTAAAAAATAATATGCACTATGGAAAAAACATGTAAACATCTAACATGTAAACATTGTACCTCTCAAGGTTTGGTCAGTTACCCGGATGCACAGCCATATTGGAGATACTATGGATTGCACGGTTAATGTACGACTGAAGACATTGTTCTACTAATTTATGATGTCTAAACCACGGAAAAATGTGTGGAAGCTGCTAAATCACAGTTAACACAGGGCTCAACGCTCGGGGTTTTTTTCTACTGGCACGGTCAGGTATACCCAGACAAACGTATTTGTCCGTTCAAGCAAAAGAAGTCAAGTCACCTTTATTTATATAGCGCTTTATACAATACAGATTGTGTCAAAGTAGCTTTACTGTGTTAAACAAGAAAAACATGTGCAAGAGGACAATAGAAAACAATCAGTTTTTCAGTTAAAGTCAGTTCATTGATGATTCAGTGATATCATCATCCAGTTCAGTTCAGTTCCAATAGTGTCTGTGCAATCAAGTCGACAATATTGCCAGAAATTAAGTGTCCCCAACTAAAGCCCAATTTATACTTATGCATCCAACCTACGCCGTAGGCTGTCCAAAAATATAATGGCACATCAATTCTACACGGACTGCAAGCGCTGTGATTGGTCTGCTAGTAGTTTTGTGTGTGTGTGTGTGTTTTGCATTTTAATATACTTTAATGGCACACCTTCTTAATTAAAATAAAACAAAGCAAAGAACAAGTGTCTTATCATTTATTATACAACATAGCATTATACATCATTTAGTTGTCCGTGACAAACAATGTTGTTCTGGTACAAGTCCTTGCGGAGACTGCAAGAATGCCATCTTCTCCTGCAGTTTTAAATAAATGATCTGTTCTTGGATATTTATTTTCCGCCCGTCACGTATTTGTGAAATCTAGCTAACAAAATATATATTGTGTGTTGGAGTGGTCCAGACGCTACACTGCTGATGCTTCTCCGACAAGCTGCTTCTTCTTCGGCTTTTGCTTTGATACTAGGGGTTACACCAGCAACATGCCTGTGGACACTGCAGACTGCATGTGTAATTGCATGTCAACGCGGACTACGACGCAGAAGTATTATTTAAAACCGATGCATAGCCTATGGCGTAGAGGCTATGGCGTAGGTCTGACGCAGAAGTATAAATCAGCCTTAAGCAAGCCAAGGTGACAGTAGCAAGGAACCGAAACTCCATTGCTGACAGTAATGGAGCAAAAAACATGGGAGAAACCATGGCTCAGTCAGGAGGCCAGTTCTCCTCTGGCCAGACGAAACCAACATGGCATAGTTTAATTCCAGGCTGCAGCACAAGTCAGATTGAGCAGAGGACTCATCTGGTTCTTGAGCCGATGGCCGACGAGGAAAAAGACGACATGGAAAGAAACGCAATTCAGGGCTATTGAATGTAGTCTTGCTTTCGCATCTTGCTTGAATGCTTTAGAATCGCTGTAATTTTTAAATTAGCAAGGCTTAGAATAACCAGACGATATCGTCCACTGGTGTGGACACTAATATCATTTTCTTTATAGTTATATTTATAGTTATCGTTCTTGGTGTGAACAGGGCTTTAGTGTCGTGTAATAGGTGGAAAAGATCCGTACAACTGCCTCCTTTGTTGTGGACTGACAATTCTTCCTTCTATTTCTTATCCCGACATAGTGAACTACTTTGTTTTTTCGCCAAGCCCATAGACGAGTTCCGTTCGGTTCAGTGCCATTGCTTACATTCAGTGCCACCAATATGGTTGACTTCCGGATTGATGACCTGCTGTGAAAACACTCTATTTTGAGGTGCAGCTCGTCATTTTAATCCAGTGTTTTTACTAGTTAGCTGTAAACCGGCTACCTCACCTGAATATGTTTGTAGACTTGTGTTGGGTGTTATTTTTGGAATGGAAATATTGATTTTATTTGTAAACATCATACTTTTTTCATACTTGTTTATTTCAGTTAAATGTAATCAAACTAGCGAGCTAAGCCAGTAGTAGTATTGTTGCGGAAGAACAGACAAACCAAATCAATTGAGTGAGTCATTTAAGTTGGAATTTCACTCAGACTGATTCAAACTCTTGACTTCGATCAGTTCAAGTGATTCATCATCGAAAAAAACAGATCAAAGGAGCCGTTCATTTTCAAATTTCGACATTACTTGTGATGATTTTAAAAAGCATGTTTAGTGATTTTTGAAATGGAGCTTTTTGAAACTCTGAATCAGTTAAACCACTGCTCGCAAAACCACTCACTATTTCAAAGTGCTCCAATCGCGGATTGCAAATCATTTGATTTATATCAGAACTTTGGTTATCGCAAATCATTTGATTCAGATCGTGACTGTGGAGTGCATATCGTGAATCATTTGATTCAGATCGTGACTGTGGAGTGCATATCGTGAATCATTTGATTCAGATCGTGACTGTGGAGTGCATATCGTGAATCATTTGATTCAGATCAGAACTTTGGTTATCGCAAATCATTTGATTCAGATCGGAACTGTGGAGTGCATATCGTGAATCTTTTGATTCAGATCGTGACTGTGGAGTGCATATCGTGAATCATTTGATTCAGATCGTGCCTGTGGAGTGCATATCGTGAATCTTTTGATTCAGATCGTGACTGTGGAGTGCATATCGTGAATCATTTGATTCAGATCGTGCCTGTGGAGTGCATATCATGAATCTTTTGATTCAGAACGGAACTTCGGAGCGCGTATCATTTAATTTAGATCAGGAATTGGGTGCAGGTTAGTGAATCATTTGATTCAGATCGGGACTTTTATTATAAATTCGTCCATAAGCTTTTGCTACAAAAGCATTTCTTCAACACTGACCTGTCAAGAATATCATCACAGATTTCTGGATGCATGCATTGTGTGTAATCAATCATGCAAACCAGTTCTTTCGCAGTTCTTTGAGACACAGAGAAATCTTCAATTCATCCAAGAAGACAAAGAACTGCAGAAACGTCTGCCAGATATTTCCTCAGATGTAAAGGTCCGAGTTGTTCATTTCCAACAGGTTTGGGGTGATGCATAATTTCAGCGACATGTAGCGGCTGAGGTCATAAATATCACCTACTTCTGATCTTGTTTTGCTCTGTGAGCTTTATAATAAAACGTCTGAGCCTCACATCGACAAATATGACACTGACAAAGTGTCCAACCTTACCGAAAGCAGCCGTGCCAAAAACAGCCATCCATCCTGAAAGTGTAATACATCTTGGTCCAGTGCGTTGCAATTTGCAAAGGGGCGGGGCTTATCGAAGGGGTGGAGCCTAGAAATAGGTGTAACCGCAATTGGTGACCTGCTTCATAATAATAGACTCACCTTAAGCAGCAGGAAGGGTGTTGTGATGTTGTACAGCATGTGGAAATAGTCACCGGTACTGGGTTTATTCAAAGGAAACCACTCCAAAGGACAAAAGATCTTAAAAAACCCACAGAAAAAACATCAAACATCAGTGATTTTAGGCGCCTTACAGCTTAAATAAAACATTTTGTGCCAGAGAATTAACACTAAATAACAATAACTACAATAAAATTAAGACCACCACTGATCTATATTAGTGGTGCGCACAAGCCACGCTCAGTCTCAAACAGCTTGTGAGCCACAAATACCAAAATGAGTGGCTAACTGCGCTAAAACGGTCAAATACATACAAAATTATGTCAAAATGACCGTCTTGGCGAGTATCCAGTTAAACACAGTCAGTTTTGGGATGTTAAATAGTTGAGAAAGAGAACACATGTTGTGTAACAGTATATTGGGTCCGTGGATAAACTCTTAAAGGGACCGCAGTCCAATATACCTGCTTTCAGCGACATGTAGCGGCTGAGGTCATAAATATCACCTACTTCTGATCTTGTTTTGCTCTGTGAGCTTTATAATAAAACGTCTGAGCCTCACATCGACAAATATGACACTGACAAAGTGTCCAACCTTACCGAAAGCAGCCGTGCCAAAAACAGCCATCCATCCTGAAAGTGTAATACATCTTGGTCCAGTGCGTTGCAATTTGCAAAGGGGCGGGGCTTATCGAAGGGGTGGAGCCTAGAAATAGGTGTAACCGCAATTGGTGACCTGCTTCATAATAATAGACTCACCTTAAGCAGCAGGAAGGGTGTTGTGATGTTGTACAGCATGTGGAAATAGTCACCGGTACTGGGTTTATTCAAAGGAAACCACTCCAAAGGACAAAAGATCTTAAAAAACCCACAGAAAAAACATCAAACATCAGTGATTTTAGGCGCCTTACAGCTTAAATAAAACATTTTGTGCCAGAGAATTAACACTAAATAACAATAACTACAATAAAATTAAGACCACCACTGATCTATATTAGTGGTGCGCACAAGCCACGCTCAGTCTCAAACAGCTTGTGAGCCACAAATACCAAAATGAGTGGCTAACTGCGCTAAAACGGTCAAATACATACAAAATTATGTCAAAATGACCGTCTTGGCGAGTATCCAGTTAAACACAGTCAGTTTTGGGATGTTAAATAGTTGAGAAAGAGAACACATGTTGTGTAACAGTATATTGGGTCCGTGGATAAACTCTTAAAGGGACCGCAGTCCAATATACCTGCTGCTGTCTGTCATATTAATCAAAGAACAAAAGACAAAGAAAACCAAGAAAACCGCAATCGGTGCATCTCTACAAAAAATGCAAAAGTAATATTCAAGATCACATTCGAACTGTGCATTGCAAAAATATAAATTAGATTTGGAAAAAAAAAGAAAAAAAAAAGTAAGTGTTATAGAGATACTATTATAGGTTTTATGAACATTTTGTTTTCATTTTAATTATAGTTAAAGTTTCAGTCATTTTATGTTCATGTCTAGATTTTTTATTTTTATTTCAGTTTTAGTTGCTGAAATAAACTATTGTAATTTTTTAAAAGTATATATTCTTACGTTTAAAAAATATATATTTTAAATTATTCCAGTTAAAGTTCCTTTTAATTTGAAATAACATTTAGTTTCACTTGATTATAATAACCCTGGTGCAGAACTCACTATAGAAGCGTGAAGAGTTTACGTTAAATACTTAGCGTTGGTTCAGATCACAAAGTCTTGGCCTAAAAAACATTCAACTATAAAGTGCAAGTGTAATGATGATGGTTTGGGATGCATCCAGACTCTCCCTCCATTTACAGATCAAGAAAACGTAGAAAGCGGATAGAAAGCGTCTCATGGACCGCCGTGGGAAACGCACTTTAATCTCATCCGATTGGTTTCCCTCAAATCCCAATGCAATATCTCCGGCTGCAGGGGTTCTGGGAGGCATCAAAGAGCTTTTGAATGTGATTCTAAGGTGGATTCAACCCAATCCAAGCACATTTTTTGAAATATATAAATATATATTTATGAATATATTAAAAATGATTTGAAATAAATATTTAATCATTAGACACATTTTTTATATTTAAATATTAATATGTCTATATATATATATATATATATATATATGTGTGTGTATGTATATATATGTGTATATATAGTTTTTAGAACCAAAACTGTCAACAAAAACCAACTGCTCATATGCACTTAATTAATCTTTTACAATGCATCTGAATTGTTTACAAAACCTTCATTGTACTTCACACAGCATGTGGTATAAAAATCAACAATATGAAAAGTTCAAACCTGGTCAGGCAGGCAGCATGCACGGCACAGTTTTGCCTCCTGTGCATGATGGATGGCATTTCAGTGGCACCATGAAGATTTTCTGCTTTCATCCACACTGGAGGCAGACAGATGATCCCCTGACTGACCTCTGACCTCAGCTGACGGGTAAAGCGCCAAAAGAAAGCAATCATCCTGGTTTAGTCCTGCTCTCTCCTGGATGCAGCGCTTGTAAAGCTGCAGGACACTCATGGCAGGTGTCTGGTGTAGCTGTAACACAAGAAGATGTGAGTGTCCCGCCCTATAGTTCACACTGAGCTGACACAATACATCAGGTCTACACACTGACTTCTGACTATTTATAAAAAGAAATGTTTATTCATGAAGTAAAATCAAACAAATTGATACGGTGCATTTATAGTTGGTGCAGTTGATTGTGCAGATAAACGCATGACATGTTTCAGGGTTTAATATTTCTGTTGAATATACAGCACTGTGTGTCCCTAGAAAAGCCTGCCAAAAAAAACCAACAACTGTATTTATTATTGAATCATTAAATCTATTTGTAAGAAAATTACAAGTATATATATATATACTGTATATATATATATATATATATATATATATATATATATATATACACATATATATGTATATAACATTACAACTAATTATATTTATTTGTTTATTTATTAATTTTTTTACTGATATTATCTATTGTACAGTGATGTGTAAATATATAAATATTTTCAGATCCATGTTATTTTTTGGTATTGGATCCAGGCTTCTGACATTGTAGAAAACTTCTAAACAAACACATAAAGCAAATCTTTGGTTTACACACAGACACAGACACAGACACAGACACAGACACACACACACACACACACACACACACACACACACACACACAGACA